ACACCTTCGAATAGCACAAACAGTATTCCATCAGCGAGCAAATTTGTCGGTGTGATGGCCACCATCGGAATGTGTTGGACTAGCGCTTTCGCGGGTACGTGCATAAGTTTCCAAGTGCGGGTGTGGTTCGCTAGAACAGAAAGCGACTTTTTCGCTTTTTGTCCGCAAAACTTTTTTCGCTGCGAGAACCTCAAGTCCACTCCTGATTAGTGGTGGACCAGGGATTCACGCATCGAGGTTACGCGTGCGAAAAGTGAAAGTTGCTTGGTGTTCTGGCGAACCCCACCCTTCATGTGCCGTAGAGAGGTTAACGTACCCTGGCGCTGTGCAAGGCCAACGATCATCACCCTTAAGACAGATTGTCAGCGTTTAGAGTGCACAGAAAAGGGTCTCATCAATAGTACCACTTGTTGCGATAGACGGTAAACCTAAGAGTTTATGCTCTGTGTCCTAGCGACTGGATGACAATCAGAGTTAAAGGCAGCGACGATAAAGTGAGAGCGTATCGAGGAAGCATATGCACCACACGAATCAGTTACTTGGCTGCCAGGGAAGCGAGGTGTAGCGCTTTCACGACGGAAGGTTCGCTGGTTGCTGAGCAGGACTTCGAAAGCACTCCGCCCCCAAAAGCGATCCGCCCACTAGTTTAGTTGGTGATTTGGACGAGCTGCGTTGCCAGCAGCGGCACAACTGGAGCAACTCGATTGGAGCGTGGTTTGGCATGGTGCCACCAAACGCGTTGCGTGAACTCGTTCATACGTCCGCTTTCTGAGCTGTTACCTGTTCATGAGTGAAAACCAACGGCCAAAAAAGGGGTCCCGTTTTGCGTTTTCTTGACGGATTTCTCCGCCACCACGTACCATTGAGCACCACCACGTCTCCTTTGAACCTTTTGAACCTATCGTAATCGCTGCCTTTGAAGCAGCTGAGAACTCACAGATACGGTAGTAAAACACGGTTTTTCTTTTTTGTTGGCCAACCGTAGCTACATAGTCAAGACGGGTTCTAGAGCGGGGGTAGTTGTGGCCGGACTGCCTCGTATATTGGTGTAATGAGAGAAAAAGGTTGAGGAAAAGGAATCGAGGTAGAAAGGTAAGGGAGGAAGCAGACCGTCCTAGTCGAATTTCCTTGACAGTGACGTACCTCTAAGGTCAAATAACACCATGTCATCAAAGGTTGGGGAGTCGTATACCTGAAATCGGCCCACACGCCGCGGACTGTTTAAAAGAGATCCAGGGTTACGTTCCTTTTTTGAATCGTTTTCACCATCATTACATTTATTTAAGGAGTTTACTTCGAAAAGATGCTGAAGAATGTGAACAGTAACATGTGGATCCAAAATATCCGTCTCAGTCTTATGACGCTTGTGTTCGCCACCTTCACAATGTGGACGTCGGACGGCCAGAAGATAATGGAAAGTAAGCAGTCAAACGATCATTCCATGCAGCGATTCTTTGTCTAACAAATTTCATTCCAGAGGGGATTTTTCAAGGATGGACGAGTTTGGTTTGGACCATGACCATCGCAGCTGCTACAAGTGGGATTGTGGTTTCAGCAGTCATGAAGTACGCAGACAATGTGAAAAAGACTTACTGTCAAACCTTGGCCATAGGTAACTCTCTTCGAAACATTCTAATTTATAAATTATTCGTGCATCTGAATATTTCCGTTCAGGTCTAACGGCGGTCACCTCAATTGGTCTTGGAGAACGAAATTTCAGCTGGTCGCTTACGGCGGGAGTAATTTTGGTGGTGACCTCCATAGCCATCTATGCCTTTTATCCGCCATCCCCTCGGCCGCTGATGACCTTATCCGACTCGAAAGGGCAAAATGCTGATCTTGTTTAGATGTGCGGGACAGTGATAGTACCGTCTCTGATGTGACCGCTTGGGGCGTCGTGTTTTCCTTCTCGCTTCAAAATACCACCGAAAAGATCCCATCACAATCTAGTCAGCTATACAGCCACTATTCCTAGGCATCAATTTCTAGTCTAGTGAGGGCGGCAACTGCATAGTATTTGCAAGAGAACTCGTCCTATACTTACAGAAAAGAATATTTATTAGGGTATTTTTACGGGTTGATGCATTCTATCGTCTGAGTCGAATAAATTTTGCTAATGTTTTTTCTTCCAATGTATATCTATTGCTGGATTCGCAAGGAGTGCATGTGGAATATGTGATAGCTGGACTGCGTAGCTTCCCGTACTTTTGCAGAGGAAGCGCTTGCTGTGGCATAAAAAGAAGTGCGTCTGGGCATTAAAAAGAAGGGCGTCCTAATACTCACAAAATTATACGAATACCTCAATACCTATTTGAGGGTAAAATAATAGATTTTATCACAATGAATTTGCCATCATTCACTCCTTTGTGGTCGACAATAACCAGTGGGCAAAAAAAGCTTCACTCTCACTCACAAAATTTTCGAGAACAGAATTGATTTACATTTTGCCAGAACCAAAATCGAAATGAAACTCAATTGCATATTGAAAAGCGAGCAATTCTATCGGTTCTACAAACTAGGGAACAATACGTAGGGGCTTTCTACACCACCTATACGCGCCGACATACACGGAAGGATTTTCTCACGCAAAAAATGGATATCACGGGGTGGAGCGAGCTCAACGACTGTCGATCGTCCAAGAACCATGGACGAAACATGTACGATTGGCGATCTTTTTTAAACGTTTTGGCCCTCAAAAGCCATGTTGGCAAAGTCAGAGCTAGTGTTCCTGAAAAGTTATTCACTAGTTATCGATTGAGATTGTGGGGAATTAGTAGCTGTAGCAAGCCCAGAAGTGGAAGCGATTATGGTAGGCCTCTTAGCTCGACTAGTGGTTGACAGAGCCCATTCATTCTGGAAAAAAAAAGTTGGATGGGGAGCAGCGAAGGTGGGCGCTCATTCTGCATTATGAGGAGGAGGGAGCATCTAAGCGAATAACCGTCGTATAACGTACCCATACACCCCGACCGGCGGCATGGCCTTTGCGAGGCGAAAATTCTTGATGCATGAAAATGCGCGGATGGCGAAAGTCACCACTTTTTTTGGGTCCCTTCTCCTGTATCTGTCATCTTTATATATCGCCAAGCCTTAGTGTATCGCGTGGTGTTATGTGAAATAAGTATCATGCTTTACAAGTTGGTTTTGTTTTCCTGTCTGTCCGTCGCAAAAATTGATAGTGAGCGCTAAGCGGATAAAACAGCGCCGCTCACAAATCTGGAGGAGTATAATAATGGGAGAAGGAGAAGGAACGCAAACCCTACGCCGGTTGCCGGGGGACCAGTTGGTAAGGGTATATTCGACAAATGTTGATGCTCTACCTTTACAACTTTTTGGTTGGAATTTTTCGTTTCATACCAAAACTATAGAACACAGAGGTAGGTCATATTCAGGTGGCAGGTGAAGGAATTTCCCGACGGTTTCAACATTTTGTAGTCATAATGGGAGAGTCCTTTTCTGAATCAATCACACATTCGAGACCTTCATGTTGCTGGACACTCTGATAGAAAATCGCACGTTGATGCCTTCTTCGCCTACGGGTATCGGAAGATACGTCTGAAATTCTGACGACCACCACTCAACGTCGATTGAGGGCCGTCTTCGGCCTTTACCTGTTCTGGATAAAATATGAATAATGCAGAAGAAAAGCATCGTTTTACTGCACCATCTTTTTTGATCATAATTTCATTCAAATCAATTTCATTGCCATTTTCCAACCTTCATAGAAAACTAGAAATGATAAAGTGGTGTTGACAATGCTTTGAAACTTGTCCGCTTCGAATAAGTCTCGTCGATCTATTTTTCTTGAGGTTTCCGGGCTAAGTATTTACTTTCTTGTATACGCCACCTTGGATCCTTGGAATGGTCATTGTCTTTCTAAAAATTTACATTTACATAAGAAAAGGTGAGCATTATGAAATTTACTTGTTTTGTGCTCCATAAAGGCTGAACCTGACTGCAAAGTCAAAACACACATACCCTCTTCCTAGGTTTCCATCTGAGACAAGAGAGGTCAGTTCGCCCGATTAGCTGCGCTTTCTTGCGCTTTGTTTCAATCGGAAACATGAAATTTTTTTGAACCATATCCATGTGCGTGAAAAATCAAATGAGAACAGTTTTGCAGTAAATATTCTGGTTTGGAATGCACCACGCACTCGTCCGTGGTGAAGAGGGGAGAGACATCTGAAAGTGTATTTCTCACAATAATGAGGAATGACGAGGAACTGTTCTGATTACAATCCTGTACTGCTGAAAGTCTAAATCTAGAAGTGCGGTCTTCAATTACCAGTTTGGCTCCACTCGCTACCGCGCGAATGCAAAAGTAGACTTAAGTGAAAATGCTCTCCTCTCTGCTTAGTCTTTCATTGCCTTAGCACAGCCGAGCTCTTGTATCAAAGCATCCCCAGGATCGAATTGATGTGGTTCAT